ATGAAGGATAAAGGCTTGGCACTCCCGAAAGTTCTGGAAGAACAGACCGAAAATAACAACCGGACTATCGAATCTGTTGAGCATCGATAGCCCTTCGCTGGGGGTTCTTCCCACCATTTTCTATTAGAAAAGGATTACAGAGATCGAATCATCGATTCCATAGGAATGGGGATACAAGAATTGAAAGCACAACTCAAAAGGGTGATAGGTGACCCAACGGGAGAAGAAAACCGACGCAGAGCCCTCCCATCTGCACTAGAGGAGCCCATCTCATGAACCACCAGTGAAAAAGGCCCCTGTAGACACTCCATTTTTGACCGTCCTTAAGACTTGGACATCATCGTTTGAACACTCGATGATCATCCATGCTCGTGTTCGTTTTGAGTTTCCGAAGGTCTCGGCTGCGCGCCTTGCCTTAGGATCTCTCAACTTGGCTGTTTTGTGCTTGGTTGTGGACCAAGGACTTGTGGTTTTTGTACCTAAGGGTAGGAAGTGGCTTGTTGACCTTCCCTTTAACCCACCGGCCTTATTTTCTTGCTATCGGCTAAGAGTGTTGGCCGATCGACACTGTTTTTGGTCGGCCAGCCATTGTTTTGGTCGATCAGCCACATTTTCTGGCCGAGGCCTTTCTTTTGCCTTTTTTAGGCATTGTGCATGCCAGCTGTGCCAGCTGGTGAGCACATACTCTGCCCTCCATACACGTATATGAAGGGATTTGAACCAACACTTAGCTTCTCTTGGAAGCTTTGAATTGGACTTCCTATAAAAGAAGAGCCTCCCCTCCCTGTCCAGAGGTTAAGCCAACTGATATAGAAGATATATATCACACTCTCTCTCTATATCTCCTCTCTCTCTATAGTTGTGTGTGTAATAGTGTTCTAAAGGGTGTTTTTGTTCATATTTTTGCACTCAAGCACCTAGTGGTTACACTATCCCTTAGTTACTGAGGTGCTAAAGAGTTGATTTCAGAGTTTTTGAGTTGGTTTTGATCAGAAGGAGGTGCTGGAGTTGGTGTTCTTGAAGTATTCTTCAAGGGTGAGAAACTACTCTTTTATTCCCCATTTTTGCTTAAGCTTTTAGCAATACTTGCATACTGTTTTAAGCTTAGTGTCCAACTAAAAAAAGTTCTGTTTTTATATGCTAAATATGTTTGTTTAAGGTTACTTTTGGGTTGGGGGTTGTCTACCCCCTCTGAGGCCTTGTTTGGCCTTATTTTGTGACCTTCTTTTTGAGCTTTGAAACCTTTTTGTTTTGACCTTCTCGTAGTGGTGGAGAACTGGTTTTGAGGTCTTGAATAGGGGAGGGACACCCCCCCCTTTGTGTCTCATTTGCTTGCATTGTTGGCTCACCATAGTAGCATGTTTGCTTAGCATGTTTTGGCCCTATTTCAGCAAGTATTTGGTGTTATCTTGGCATGATATACCTCAGTTTTAAGCTGGCTTGTTGGTCTCTTGCATGCACCATGTACTTGCCTTGTAATTCCTTCTATTGCCTTAACATGTATCTTGCATTTGGACCATCATGCTTGCATATTTCGGCTCAACTCCAAGGAACATTTAGTCATGTTTCACCATGTTTAAGCTCTGTTTGGTGTCAATTTGATCATATATGCATTGCTTCGTATAGCCTTAGTTCATCCTAGCTTGTTAAGCTTTGTGCACCGAGTTGCTAGCATGCATTGTTTTGACTATTCTCATGATTTGGCATCATTTGAAATCACATTTCAGTCCATGTAATGTAGCCACACACTTATGTTTGCCATCTTTTCAATGCTTTGAAGAGTTGTTGTTTTGTGCCTTAAGATTGGCTCATTGTGTATGTTTCCATGATTAGGTCTTTGGGATGCCATCTCATTGGGTTTTGAGGCTTATTTTGACATATTATAACTCTATTTTTCATTGCATAATTCATGCCATGTTTGGTTATGATAGGCGTAGTGTAATGCTCCCTTTGTAGCCTTCCATGCCTCTTGTTTTTGGCATTGTGTTCTAGCTTGTGTTGGCTAGCTTCGAGCTTGCTTTTGGTCTTGTTTAGACCTGTCTTGGGACTATTTTAGGTCCGCTTGGCCCTTTGAGGCTTGCCTCATGTGGCCATGGTTTGAACCCCTTTGCTAGTCTCAAGTTTTGGGCTTCATTGCGCGCCTTACTTGCATGGTTTATTTGTTTTGGCATCAGATCAAGGGTGCTCATAGATGACCTTCCCCAAACGTACCCAAGTTTCTGAGCTGAGGCAACTTTGGTGATGACGGACATGTGGCCTTAGGCACGAGTCAGGGTTTCCTAAATTTCTCAAAATAAATATTTAGGTGGCGACTCTGTATCTAACAAAGCAGTCAATGTTTGGCACTTCTTTCTTAAAAATCAGTTTTCCAAAACGATTTGCCAGATTTGGACTTTTTGGTGATTTATCGGTCTTGCATTGCACTTTGCGGGATTAGATTCAGAACCGCGACATTTGAGTCCGAACTGTAGAAGCATGAGGCCCTTGGGGCGCGTCTACAGCGGCCATTCCATGAACTAGCCCCATTCGACATAGGAAGCTCATGCACTGGCTGGGGCAAGGACAGATTTATTGATCTGATTGGCCATTAATCTGATCGGCCAAGTATCTAAGCCCAACGACCCAAGGCATATTTGCATGCTTAAGTTGCATTTTGCATGCTTGTTAGCTTGCATTTTGTCATGTGCTTGATATGTTGTCACATATTCTTGCATGTTTGGATGCATGTTAGGTAACATTGCATTGCATTTGTCGTGCTCATGTTACATTGACTTAGCTTGCATGCTTAGGTTGATTACATTGGATTACATTGCACATGTCACATTACATTGGTTGCATGCTTTGCATTGTATTTGGTACACTTGCATAGCATTGTGTTTGGTTTGGGGTGTCAAACCAAACACGAGGATCAAGGGACGTTTCGTACTCGAAGTGACGAAACGTGCCTCAATCCTTGGTCGCCGACACTCTTGATCTAACATGATAGAGTTCTAGGCATTCATGTGTTTTGTTGCATTCATTTCACATTAATTCGCACACTTGGCTCCTTTGGCCATCACGCATTGAAATGCGTGATTGGTGGTCCAAGGGTCGAGATCCATACTCCCTTGAGTTTATAGCATGATAGGGAGGATGGTTGTGCACACATTATCTTGTAAATGCCTTGCCATGCACTGTCTGTCCTCTGCTGCAGCAAAAACAGAATTCTGCAGGAATATATGGCCGGTCGGCCATCTTCAGTGCCGGCCGGCTACCAAAATCTGGCCGAGAGCCTTACAAATGGTCGATAACCATTTTCCAATGGCCGGTGGTCCTATCTTTTGGCCGGTGACATCCCACAGTGCTTGGGGAGTGGTTCAGAAACATCCTTGGGACTTGCGTAGTTTTCAGAGGAGCAAAACAGTGCAAACAGAGGCAACATGTGGCATGGCAATGGGTTTCCGAGCGAGGCAATCGAGCATGCATCATTCAATCATTCCGAGGTAGAGCTGCGGCAGCCTCCTTTTGTAATTAATTTGTTAATTAATTAAGGGTTTGTAATAATTAATTAGCTATGATAGTTGATTAATCATTTGGTTTGTATTATTTATTCGGACCCTCCGTCGAGAGGGCGAATTTGTAATAAGTGTGCGTGCGTATGTGAATGTCTTCCAACCCCACGTCTTTCTCCCTTTTACTTACCTGCTTTTGATGGTTAGTTTTAGGTCATGTTTCAATTAGCATACTTATGTTAGCATGTTTGCATACATTCATTCGTATTGCACGCACCGGGCTCGGCGCATCATAGTAATTGCATAGTATTTCAATTCCAACTTGAATACGTGTATCGAGTTGTCGCATTTCACATGCCATTCTTAGATTAGTCGAGCCTATTCTAGTTGTATTTTGCACGTGTTGCATTAGCCATCTTAACATGAACTAGGATCATGCATGATTTCTAACTAGTTTCTTGTTTTGACTCGGAGTACTAGGTAAGTGCTTATGCTTTAGCATCTTGCATGAGTGTGAGTGTTACCATGATAGCATGCTTGCCATGAGGTTAACTATTTACGTGATATAACTGCCTGAATGCTTGTGGGTGAAGGTTAGATTACTTGAATTGGGACAATTCATCAAAATGTGTGTTTTAAGCCCACTTGAGAGTGGCAAAATCATATTTTTCTAAGCCCACTCGATGGTGGTAAATCCACGTCTTAGCCTACTTGCGAGTAGCACCTTTAAACCATTTTCACAAACAAACGTGAGATGTTTTGTTCCGACTTAGGCGATCTAGTCTATACTTGTGTGTTGTGCGCATTACATAGTAATTCTAGGCTAATAATCGGAATAAGGACGCATGTGTTTTCAAAAACAAGATATTATGTTTAGTAGTGGCCGATCTTTGATCGGGCGAGCGGGGGTGCTCATAGATGACCTTCCCTAATCATACCCAAGTTCCCGAGCCGAGGCAACTTTGGTGATGGCAGACACGTGGCCTTAAGGAACGAGTCAGGGTTTCCTAAATTCTTCCAAAATAAAATATTTAGGTGGCGACTCTGTATCTAGCAAAGCAGTCCATGTTTGACACTTCTTTCTTAAAAATCAGTTTTCCAAAACGATTTGCCGGATTTGGACTCTTTGGTGATTTATCGATCTCGCATTGCACTTTACGGGATTAGATTCAGAACCGTGACATTTGAGTTTGAACTGTAGAAGCAAGGCCCTCGAGGCGCGTCTACAGCCCCCAAAAATGAATTTAGGTAGCAAAGTAAGCCAATCCTGGTACAAAGTGAAGCAGAGAGAAGCCACACTCGTGGTTCTCATTGGAGAAGGGCTAAGAGGCAAAAAAATAGCCAGCCAACAGATAGAGTATCCTTTTCTGGATCTCTGTACTTGGTTGATCGGCAACAGACAAAATGAGCAACGATGAGGCTCAACATCTTGACTGTACTGTCCATCAAAGAGAGCACTGAGCATTGGATTGGCTCGTCTCCTCTCTTTTCTCCCTAGAAATCGAAGCTATGAGACCTCCCAAGAAATTCACTCCACAAAAGTTCACGTCATACAATGGGAAATCAGACCCATTAACACATATCAGCCATTATTGGCAAATGATATCCTTGTGGAGCCGATACGAGGCACTGATGTGCAAAGTCTTTCCATCCAGCTTGGGAGAATCCAGACTTCGATGGTTCGATCGTCTCCCCGCCGAATCGATTTACAACTGGAAACAACTCTCTGAAGAGTTCTTGGCCAGATTCTTCTCCAACACTAAGATCCCAAAAGAGCCCGACACCTTGCTCGGTCTCCTAAAGGAACATGAGGAAACGCTGCGTAATTATGCCAGAAGGTATTGGGAAGAATATAACGATCTGGAGGAAAATGTTTGCAGTGAACAAATGGCTATAATGTCTTTTAAACACGATCTACGTCCAGAAAGCAAGCTAAGACAATCACTTACCAAGCGCCGACCCACAGCACTGAAGGATTTGCGTGCCAGGATTAAACAGTATGCTCGCCTCGTAGACGATCAAATCCCCATCGAGGTAGCATCAACTGAACAAACAGCTCGAAACAAAAGGAGAGCAGACTGAGTAGAACACCGAGGAGTCGCAGTGAATGAAGTAAACAAGTTTAAATCCCACGAAGCCGCTGTGACTGTATTCAAGGAACCAATCTATCGTATTATGGAAAAAATCAAGAGAGAACCATTCTTTACTTGGGCGCCAAAAATGCTGGGAGATCCAGCTCGGTGCAACCAGAAGCTCAGATACACCCATTACCAAGACAGGGAGAATATGACTCAGAATTGCAGAGCATTAAAGCAACACCTGGAAGACTTGGTAGCTGTTGGGCACCTCCGAGACTACATTGATCAGGACAAAGCGGTGACCGAACAAGGGAACCTTCTACCCGAACCGAACATCGAGTATCCGTCTTGGTTGGTAATAGACATAATTCATGGTACAACCAGCCACGAGCGTGAAGAGGCACTTCAAGAAGAAATTACAAAAGTTGTGCAGATTCAGCAAGTCATGTCAGTAGGGCCCGTGCCGAAAAAGGTACGAACAGTACCTAAGCCCCCCTTATGCACTGTTTCATTTACTAGGAAGGATTTAGACGGCATTCAGTACCCACATAGTGATGCATTGATTATGACTGTGGGAGTTGGGAAATGATTTGACATAAAACGAGTCCTGGTAGATCAAGGTAGTGCAGCAGATATATTGTATTACGACTTGTTCAGGAAGCTCGGTCTCTATGAACAACACCTCACCCCAGCAACAGCTCCATTGGTCGGTTTTAATTCACAACCTAAATGGCCACTTGGCAAGATAGTGTTGCCAGTTGTGGCTAGGACAAAGACCCTACATATAGATTTCTTGGTTATTAATACACCATCTCCTTAAAATGCCATACTCGGTTGTCCTTGGATTCATCAAATGGAAACAGTCCCCTCAACCAACCACCAGCTCATCTGCTTCCCAATAGAACACGGAGTAGAGCAGATCTCAAGGGACCAAGTTGCATCAAAATATTGCTTCATGGCAACCATGAAGGCTAAACAACTCTGCAATCGTGTATAGACAATTGAAGTAGCCGAACAGCTGGTCTTGGAGGATGTCAGAGGAACCCCAGCGGAGAAGATAGTAGAGGATTTGGAAAAAGTCCTAGTGAAGGAAGATGACCCAGAAAAGTATTTCCTTATCGGTACCTCGTTAGGCACTGATGAGAAACTTTAGTTGCTGGATTTGCTGAGGGAAAATATAGAGGTATTTGCATGGTCAGCATATGACACTCCGGGGTTGCATCCAGATTTTGCTTGCTATAAACTCAACATCAACCCTTCTATTAGGCCCATTGTGCAGAAAAGCCGAAGATCCTCAGTTGAGTATACCGAAGCAATTTTTGCGGAGGTCGACAGGCTCCTAGCATCGAGGGCAATTCGAGAAATTTAGTACCCACAATGGCTGTCCAACACAGTTGTAGTAAAAAAGAAGAACGAAAAATGGAGAGTTTGCATTAACTTTACCTGCCTTACCAGAGCTTATCCCAATGATAGCTTTCCCTTGCCTCGTATTGATCAACTAGTAGACTCAATAGCAGGACATGAGCGTATGAGCTTTCTGGACGCTTATAGCGGCTATCACAAGATACCACTGTTCTACCCATATCAAGAGAAGAGCATTTATTACTCCAAGAGGCACCTACTACTATAAAGTAATGACATTCGACCTCACGAATGCCAAAGCAACCTACCAGCGAATAATCACTCGAATGTTCAAAAAGAAGCTCGGAAGGACTATGGAAGCTTACATAGATGACATGGTAGTGAAAAGCAAGCTTGGTACAAACCACCTTATAGACCTGAGAGAAGTTTTTAATATCCTAAAAAACCATCATCTTCGCCTCAATGCCTCGAAATACGCTTTCGGGGTAGGAACAAAGAAGTTCTTGGGGTACATGGTGACTCATAGAGGAATCGAGGCAAATCCGGATCAAATCAAAGCAATACAGGAGCTCGAAATACCGACAAAGGCTAAAGAGCTACAGAAGTTGGCCGGAATGGCAGCCTCCTTGAATCGGTTCATTAGCAAGTCTTTAGATCGAATGAAGCCTTTCTTTCAGCTACTAAGGAAAAAGGCTACATTTGAATGAGGTCCTGAATGTATCGAGGCATCGCAAGGCCTTAGAAGTATCTCAGTACACCACCTCTCCTGTCCACCCTAGAACCAAGGAAAGAACTGTCCCTGTATCTGGCAGTTTCAGATCACGCTGTAAGCGTAGTACTGATTCGAGAGGTTAAAAAGGAACAAAGGTCGGTGTACTATGTTAACAAGACTCTCCTAGATGTCGAGACACGGTACCTACCCTCGAGAAGCTGGCTTACGCACTACTTATCGCCTCAAGGAAGTTATAACATTATTTTCAGGGTCACACCATCAATGTTCTCACCGAATTCCCCCTCAGATCTGTTTTCAACCGAGCTGATTTCTCCGATCGAACAGTGAAATGGGTGGTTGAGCTTAGTGAGTTTGACATTCAGTATCAACCTAGAACAGCAATCAAGGCCTAGGTCTTGGCCGATTTTTTCGCCGAATTTGCTCCCACCCAGAGCACTGAACACCAAAACTCCAGCTTGGTACAGGTGCCATGCACCACCAAACTAGGAAAGCAATGCGCTTTAGAAGCATGTAAACTCTTCATTGGTAACATCTGGTAGCTCTATGCTGACAGACCATCCAATAACTGAGGCTTGGGAGCAGGGGTAGTACTTATATCCCCATAAGGATTTGTCTGGGAGCAAGCTCTCAGGCTTGGTTGGAAGGCTTCTAATAATGAAGCAGAATACGAGGCACTGTTAGCTAGTTTACACAGTGCTGAACACTTTAGTGTTGAACAACTCCTGGTTTTCAGCGATTCTCAATTGGTTGTCAACCAACTCACTGGGGCTTATGAAACACGAGATGAAAGAATGGCCATGTATGTAGACTGGGCAAGGGATCTACTTAAAAAATTCCAATCCATACGAGTGGAACGAATCAATTGGGATAGAAACAGTCACATTGATGCTCTGGCCTACCTCGGCTAATCAGTAGATGCCAAAGATGCTAAAAAGGTTTGGGTTGAGTTTGTGCCAGAACGAAGCATTGCAACTCCAGTCCTCTGCAATAACCTAGAATCGAGCTAGTTGGATCTGATACTTGTTTTTTCTGAAAATTGGCACTCTCCCCGAAGACAAGAAGGAAGCCAACAAAGTTCGACACGGATCAGCTTAGTTTTGGGTCTCACCATCTGGGAAGCTGTACCGACACTCTTACCTCGGTCCTTATCTGTTATGCGTGCATCCAAATCTAGTCAAAAATGTTCTTTACAAAATTCACGATGGGATTTGTGGATGCCACGTTATTGGAAGGTTATTGGTGCACCGAGCCCTCACTCATGGGTACTGGTGGCCAAGAATGCAGCAAGATGCACAGTAGTACGTTCAAAAGTGTGACAAGTGTCAGAGGTTTACTCCACTAATTCGTCAGCCAGCCAAAACTCTTACTCCACTCACTAGCTTGTGGCCCTTTACCTAGTGGGGTCTGGATATCGTTGGACCATTGGCACGGGGCACTGGGAACAGACGATTCTTCATTGCTGCAACCAACTATTTTACCAAATGGGTTGAAGTTGAAGCACTGGCAAGCATCAAGGAAGCAAACACAAAACGGTTTGTCATGAGGAACATCATGGTCTATTTCGGCATCCTGCGGGTACTGATTGCAGACAATGGAACACAGTTTGACAGAAAGATCTTCAGGAAAACTTGTGCCGACCTCAGGATCGAATATCGGAACTCCTCTCCAGGCTACCCACAGAGTAATGGGCAGGCAGAAGCGTCGAACAAAACCATCATCAACGGAGTAAAGAAGCGGCTCAAAAGTGCAAAAGGGAAGTGGGTTGAAGAGTTACCCCACGTGTTATGGGCCTACCGACCCATGGCACGTCGCTCAATAGGGGAAACACCCTTTTCCTTAACTTACGCAATGGAGGCTGTTATTCCACTTGAAGTTGGTCTCCTAACCCTCTGATCGGAACTGTTTGAAAATGCAAGTAATGTGGAAGCTATTGCACAAGCACTGGATATTGCAGAAGGCCGAAGAGAAGTAGCACTAATCAGACTTGTAGCCTATCAGCAGCAGCTCATCAAGAGTTTCAACCAAAAAGTTTTCCCGAGGCAATTCACACTCGAGGAACTGATTTTGAGGAAAGTCATGGATCAAAAAAGGGTGCCTGGTGAAGGAAAATTAGGACCTAATTGGGAAGGTCCATATAAGGTTACAGTCGTTGTTGGAAATGGAGCATACTACTTGGAGGATATCAAGGGCAAGGCCATACCTTGGCCCTGGAATGTAGCAAACCTCAAAAAGTACTATCAATAAACTAAACCCCACAATTATCTTTCAAGTGTAAAAGCATCTATCTTTCTCTTAATGAGAATGCCTCCACATTTCTTTGAACTTTTATTCCAAGCACCTATACAAGCTTTGTGGTCAGAATAAGATTATTGCTTCACTTGGACTTTATAATCCAAGCCCTCGGGGCATATTTAAAAATAAACATATTTAGCTTTGGTATTTACCAAACAGATTTAGCTTTGGTATTTACCAAACGAATTTATCTTTGGTTTTAACTAAACAGAAAAGAAGTTTTGGAACGACCGAACGAAACTTAGTTTTGGTCTACACTAAAACTTGCCAGGTGGGATTGCTTGGTGGAGTTGTGTTTGGCCACCAAAATGGATCTTAGCCAAGTGGAACTGCTTGGCGGAAATCACCCTAAGGAATTTTCAATGCCCAATTCTTTTTCTTGGAAATCATAGAATTTCTTTAGTATCATCACATCAACACTTCAGTACTGATGCATCCAACCAAAGTTAGAACAAACTTAGACAATTCTTTCAAGACCAAGCTTTCAACAGTAGTCTTACTCAGCTCCAGATAAGGGCAAACACTTGTTTTCTTGGAACCAACCTGGACCTGAGTATGACTTCTTTCCTTTGAATCTTTTTGGCCCATTTAATAACACTTAAGCAGCTCTCCCAGAGAACAAGTTCTTCAGTACCAATCTTACTTAGCTCCAGGTGAGGGCAAACAATTGTTTTTCTTAAAAGCCAACTTGGACCCAAGTAAGTCACTCTCATTCAATTACAAAGATCAATACAACCATGCTGACCGAGCATCTATTCGGCCCTGTAGTCCCCACAGTGCTCGGTCGTGGGCAAACAGTATGAACAACGCAAGTATAAAAGCAAAACATATCAGACTGCAATATTAGAGGTAAAATTCTATCCAAGGCACAACTGGCCCCACAATACAGTAGCAAGAAGAAAGAGAAATTAGTAAAAAAAAAAAAACAAAAGAGTAAAAAAAGAAAAGAAAAAACAAAATGTAAAAAAAAAAACTTCAAATCATTCTAAAGGTCACTTTAACTTTCATCAGCAGAAGGAACTTCAAGAGTAGGATCCACAATCTTATCTGAGCCATCTTGGAGAGAAAAAGTAGAGGTAGCTCCAACTTCTTGAGAAGTAGAAGCCTCCTTAACCATAACTCCCACAGCTTCAGCTTCTAGGGTTTCATCCCCTTCAACGTTCACCGTCTCATTGGCAGTATCGTTCTCCAGAGTCTTGGTT